CTTCCTCTGGGACTGTGTGTGATGGATACAGAGAGAGAGGAGAAGCAGATAATGAGGGAAAACTACTGTGGAAAGTGATGAAGGGGCTTAAGAGGGAACCCAAAGAAACAGCAAAGAGAAATAAGAGAAAAACGGGAACATTTGAAGAAAAATCGTGTTTCTACAAAATTGAATGAACCTTACTATTAGTAATTGATTAATTAAGCAGTCAGTTACTTGAAAAAACAATTAAAGTAATTAAAGAAAATATAAAAACATATGTATTGTATTAAAATGTCATAACAATAAAAAAAGACCCTTAAATGTTACAGTAATGTAAGTACATGTTTGTGTGTTTCAGTGTTTATCACTGCGTCAGCCATGTTGGCTCCAACCCTCCCAGTTCCTGACTGTGTGTGAGAGAGAGAGAGACCCACGGTGGGGGTTCATATGTGAAGGGCGAGCAAAGACATCTGAGCACGTGCCACCTGTGTGTGCTTGTGTTTGTCCATGTGTCAGATTTAAGCTCATGTGACCACTAGCTGACCTCAATCTTTATGCAGAGAGCAGCTTAGTAAATCAGCGTGAGATTGGCCCCAACACAAAGAGGGATTAGCAAGTCTGCACATGATTGGACGCCTGCCCGATTGCTAACGAGACCGAGACGGCAGCTGTTGACGACCAGCGCCGCCACCACTGCTGCTGTTTATACTGATGTTGATCACCAGCTCTCCTCCTCTCTTCTTCCTTTTTCCTGATATCTCATCCCTGTTTCTTTTGTCTCAAATGAAACAATGTCTTTCTTTTCTTTTTAGAAACAACTTCTCGCTCCGCAGGCTACTTCTTTGCTCACCTCTGTGTTAAAGGACCAGTTTGTGAAATGCCATTTTTAGTGTGAGCCATTTACCATTTAGCTTAGCTTAGCATAAAGACCTGAAACACAAGGAAAGGCCTCTCGTGGTTTTGTCTAAAGGCTGCAGCTCTTGGACTCACAGCTATATCCATTTTCTTAATGTATGATTAATCAAAAAAGACAAATACAGTGGGGCAAAAAAGTATTTAGTCAGCCACCGATTGTGCAAGTTCCCCCACCTAAAATGATGACAGAGGTCAGTAATTTGCACCAGAGGTACACTTCAACTGTGAGAACAGAATGTGGAAAAAAAAATCCATGAATCCACATGGTAGGATTTGTAAAGAATTTATTCGTAAATCAGGGTGGAAAATAAGTATTTGGTCAATAACAAAAATACAACTCAATACTTTGTAACATAACCTTTGTTGGCAATAACAGAGGTCAAACGTTTACTATAGGTCTTTACCAGGTTTGCACACACAGTAGCTGGTATTTTGGCCCATTCCTCCATGCAGATCTTCTCGAGAGCAGTGATGTTTTGGGGCTGTCGCCGAGCAACACGGACTTTCAACTCCCGCCACAGATTTTCTATGGGGTTGAGGTCTGGAGACTGGCTAGGCCACTCCAGGACTTTCAAATGCTTCTTACGGAGCCACTCCTTTGTTGCCCGGGCGGTGTGTTTTGGATCATTGTCATGTTGGAAGACCCAGCCTCGTTTCATCTTCAAAGTTCTCACTGATGGAAGGAGGTTTTGGCTCAAAATCTCACGATACATGGCCCCATTCATTCTGTCCTTAACACGGATCAGTCGTCCTGTCCCCTTGGCAGAAAAACAGCCCATAGCATGATGTTTCCACCCCCATGCTTCACAGTAGGTATGGTGTTCTTGGGATGCAACTCAGTATTCTTCGTCCTCCAAACACGACGAGTTGAGTTTATACCAAAAAGTTCTACTTTGGTTTCATCTGACCACATGACATTCTCCCAATCCTCTGCTGTATCATCCATGTGCTCTCTGGCAAACTTCAGACGGGCCTGGACATGCACTGGCTTCAGCAGCGGGAACACGTCTGGCACTGCGGGATTTGATTCCCTGCCGTTGTAGTGTGTTACTGATGGTGACCTTTGTTACTTTGGTCCCAGCTCTCTGCAGGTCATTCACCAGGTCCCCCGTGTGGTTCTGGGATCTTTGCTCACCGTTCTCATGATCATTTTGACCCCACGGGATGAGATCTTGCGTGGAGCCCCAGATCGAGGGAGATTATCAGTGGTCTTGTATGTCTTCCATTTTCTGATGATTGCTCCCACAGTTGATTTTTTCACACCAAGCTGCTTGCCTATTGTAGATTCACTCTTCCCAGTCTGGTGCAGGTCTACAATACTTTTCCTGGTGTCCTTCGAAAGCTCTTTGGTCTTGGCATGGCGGAGTTTGGAGTCTGACTGTTTGAGGCTGTGGACAGGTGTCTTTATACAGATGATGAGTTCAAACAGGTGCCATTCATACAGGTAACGAGTGGGGGACAGAAAAGCTTCTTACAGAAGACGTTACAGGTCTGTGAGAGCCAGAGATTTTCCATGTTTGAGGTGACCAAATACTTATTTTCCACCCTAATTTACGAATAAATTCTTTACAAATCCTACCATGTGGATTCATGGATTTTTTTTTCACATTCTGTCTCTCACAGTTGAAGTGTACCTCTGGTGCAATTACTGACCTCTGTCATCATTTTAAGTGGGGGAACTTGCACAATCGGTGGCTGACTAAATACTTTTTACCCCACTGTAGGTCCCACTGAAATATTTAGACAAGCCATTACCAAAGTAAAGAGCGCTGTGGCCCATTTAGAAACCAGAAACTCTGAAATCTTCTCTTAATCATTATATAGACAGTGGTGGTGTATTTCCTTGAAATTTTTATTGAAAAAAAACCCAAAAAACACAAGAACACAGAGCTATAAATTGCTAATGCTTACCAGTTACATGCTAGGGTGACCAACCGTCCTCTTTCCCCGGACATGTCCACTTTTCACGTTCTGTCCGAGGCGTCCGGGGGGACTTTTGAGATGGATGAAAATGTCCGGTTTCCTATAGCCTACAGAGGACCCATATCTGCAACGTCATCCCCGAACTGCTGTGCTGTAGGTGGTAGTTCAAGTCACTCTTGAAGCTCTTAATGAAATCCAGTACTGTGGCATTCTCAGACTTAAGTAACCATGGAACAGAGAAATATTCCCAATCATACTTTGACTGGGAAATGTGGCGTGCAGACAAATTAATTGAGGTTAGAAAACGCCAAATGAGACAGCAGAAACCATTGCACAATACCTCACTGGTACTTCACTGGTAAGCTTTCTTATACAGATGAGGCATTATTCTGTAACATTATTTAATTCCACAGGTTTTAAGTTATTTTTTTTGCACTTGTTGACTTGTAAAAGCCTATATGACATTTTTTATTTCACCATTCATTAACCGCACAGAGAAGGCATCTTTTAAATATGTTAAAATTTTATTTAAACAAACAGTATTATTAAAAATTTTCATGATGGGCAAGTGTCCTCTTTTTTGGAAATCAAAATATGGTCGCCTTACATATGCAAAGTGTCATGTCATGTGTGACCAAACTCAACCTGCAACAGAAGAGCAGCAAATTTCAGTCAGAGTAATGAGTACTATCACAAACTAACCACTCCTATTTTACAGTTTTAATACACATGTTGTATAAATACATATTATTATATAGATATGCAACTGTACATAGTTTCTATGAGTAATTTTCAAACTGACCTTCTGTTGTTGCTGCAGTCCACCAGAGGGCCCGGTCCCTGATTTACAGAAAGAAGGGAAGCAGAGAAGGCAGGAGGAAATGAACAATCTAGAAATACAAAGAATCATGAGAAAAACAACAAATATAACACGGACCACGACAGTATTTGCCACAAGTCACTTCCACCTTTAGTCAAAGCATCCAGAAACACCAAAATCAGCAAGTGTAAAATAAAATTCAGCAGGAGTTGTGGCTCCAAAGTCAGCATACATTTTTGGGATTAGGGAACTAATGTTTTCAGGGACACAATAGTAGTGTTTAATAGTAAATAAAAATATGGTAAAGAAATCTATAATGTCAGTGAACTTATCATTTAAGATTGATGAACCCTTATATACCCCCACAGGCATCATCAGGGCTGATGCCCGTGCAGCGACCCTTTGGAAAACCTGAAAACTATTCTAATTTAAACATGCCTGTTGATTTACACTGAGGTGTTAAAATTGGTCGTTAAGGGTATGGCGAAAGTCTTCAAATGTTGTCTCTCTTTTTGTTTCTTTTTGACCAACTCTTCTTCAGAATGTAAATTTTGAACACCTGTATGTGTGTGTTTGCTGCAGGTGCTGGCCACGGGTCTGTCCGGTCTGTACTCGTCTCTTCCGGCTCGGCTGCAGGTTTACAGCGAGGACTGGCACTCTCTGGACCAGCGGACTGGCAGCAGGTAACAACCACAGTGCTGGGGTGACAGGATGAAATCATGAATGAGTGAAACTGTGAGAGAACCAAAAGTAGTGTCTGGACTTGTACCTTCGTGTGTGGGGGTGTATTCTGTTGGTGCCTGGGAGGTTTCAGTTTTAAGCCATTTAAGCAAAGTTTGTGGTTTTCCTCATTACTTCAGAGGACTGAAGATGAAGAGCTTCCACTTTAAGTACACTTAATCTGTACTATGCTCAAGCATGAATGCCTTCCTTCCTGATTGGCCAGACAACTAATTTTCCAGTATATCAATGCAACACTTGTGTAACAGCTATGCAATGGTAATTAAATCTAAAAAGTGATATGTGCAGTATAATATGCACAAGTATGCGTTAGATAAATGTATGAAAAATAAAACTATGTTAATTAATTATACAAGTTAGTAACAGAATTAATGAGAATAAATGAATCAACACTTTGTGTTTGGGTCAACAGGTTCCTGCTCTGGTCCACTTTTTGCACTCTCTGGACTTTTGTAGTGCTGTTACCAAGGTAACACACACACACGCGCACACACACACGCACGCACACTTTATTTTTACTCTGTAAGTGTACATCTTTGTTTCCCTCAGGTGGCTCATCCGTCCATCCGCTCCCAGCTGCTTGGTTACATCTACAATGGCTTCCTTGTGCCTGTACTTGCTCCGGCTCTGCACAAGGTATCACATTTCATCACGACACTGTAAAGAAAGTCCTGATAAGTGCCGTGCAGGTACAGGCAGCAAACCTGAAATCTACAACAGGAACAGTTGCCTGTTATATAACACAGAGTTTTAAAGGATGATACTGTCAGAGGTTTGGTTACCAAACACAGTTATGTTGGTCTTCCTGCTGTAATAACCATAAATACTTTATTTATTCATGCAAAAACATTACACTTATACTCTATAGAGTGTAAGTTTGACCATACAGTAATTTCAGCTGTTTTTGTAGCCACTAAGTTTTTAAAGTGACCAGACAGGACATTTATTTCCTCATCTTTTACATTTAGTCACCAGTAAACATCTCACAGGAAAGCTATTAATACAGCATTTTTACTGTAATTCCAGCAGGATAAAAACACCTGCATGGAATACCTATTACTTAATCACATCCTAGTGTATGTGATCATTTGTCTGTCTGTGAGTAGCTGACGGTGGAGGAAGTGATGACTACCACAGCATACTTGGACCTGTTCCTGCGCTCCATCTCTGAGCCCGCCCTCCTCCAGACCTTCCTCTCCTTCATCCTGCTGCACACACATGACAACGTTCACATCCTGGACACACTGGTCAGCAGGGTCAACACACCTTTCCAGGTATCCACACAGTCATCTAATACAGCTGCTTCATGCTCTGTCATGCAGTAAATGACCTTTGACCTTTTGCATGTCCTTCAGTTGGGCACGGTGTCGCTGCTCTGTTCAGGACTCTGATTGGGCTCTTCTGTGAAGATGTCATGCTGCAGCTGGTCTTCAGGTCAGTCTAACAGCAACTCACAGACACACATCTTTTAATTAGTGCTAATAAAATATTACAGTTTCACTAAAACTGGAACTTCACTGCAGAAAATGTATTATTTAGACGATCCATTTAAAACACCAGCAGCACAACACTCTATCTATGATGGTAAGACCTCACTGATCACTGTCAGCTACAGCTTCCTTTATTGACTTACTATAAAGCATTTTAACATGGGGAAACTGCACCTGGATGCCAGTTGTGTATAACATGCTTGGACTGAGTGTAACTGTTCTGTGTCTCCTCAGGTATCTGATTCCCTGCAGCCACCTGAGCAGGAAGCAGCGCTGCTTCTTGAAGCAGAGGGACTGTTACTCCTCCAGTGCTGCCTCCTTCCTACTGCTGATGCCCTCCTGGTTCCCTTTGCAGCTCCAAAACTCACTCACACACTCAGAGCACATCCACTGGCCCAAAGCAACCGGTCAGTATGTTAGCGGGTAACGGCTTATTTATACATTAGCTTTGGCTGTACTGACCTGTTCCTCCTGAACCGTCTGTCAGATCTGTCAGTGTCAGACAGCGTTGGTTACTGTCGTGGTTCAGACTTCCTGATGGATGTAAACTACCTCCATTACCTCTGGGATGCCTGTCAGGCTATCTCCACTGCCCGCAGGTTAGTGTGCCTTTCTTCTTCTTCTACAAAAGAATATGGTTCAGCCTGGGTCTGATTACTAAAATTAAATGTGATTTGGGTTGTTTCTCATAACTGGTGTACATGGTGCATTGCACCACTTACTGGGAAACATGCAGCAAACCAGAGTGTGAAACAGTGAAAGTGGTTCATAGTGTTATAGTGACATCTGCTGGTCAACATATGCTATTACATTTGTACTAAAACCTTGATTGTTGTTATTGGTTTTAAATGGTAAATGGCCTGTATTTATATAACGCTTTACATATCCAGTCATCCACCCATTCACACACACATTCACACACTGGTGATGGCAAGCTACATTGTAGCCACAGCCACCCTGGGGCGCACTGACAGAGGCGAGTTAAAGTTCATAGTTTTGCTTTTCAAACTACAATTAGATAAGCGCGAACTGAAAACCAGCAAGGCACATCTAAGGTAGGAGAACTGAGACATTTGTGGTAATAGATAAATGTTGCCACAATAATGAGTTTTGGTCTTTTATCTGACAGTGAAACCAAAATCAAACAAAAAAATGCACTCCTTATCGTTGTAATCTTAGGTGCAGGAAACAGACTAATAAAAGAAACGAGAACAACAGCTTACAGCCACGCTAAGACTGAGCAACACTTTAAGTTACATGCTAATGCTTACTTGTTTATACTCTTTGTTTTGTGAGTTGGCATGCAAATATCTGATAATGGTTGGCTAATGGGAATGCCATTATTGTTTCAGATCTGAAAGTCTTAGTGTAAAAGTTTGCATAAATACATACTTTTAAGCCTCTGCGGGGGCAGACCGTGTGTGGGTGTGTGAGGACCCAGGAGCAGACTCAGGTGAGGAGACCAAAACTAACTTGAACAAAAAGTGAGCCTTTTATTACGGCTGATAATCAGGGCAACAAAACAAGGCAGGAAGCACAGAGGCAAAACTAAACTGGAACCTAAACTGGGGAAAACTGAAAACTAAGAAAACTGAGACTTCACTATAAAAACTAGGAAGACAATGACAAGGTCACTGTGATGACTATGAACAGGACGTCGTGCAGGAACATGAAGGAACTATAAACTTATAGCACAGACTCCTGAAACCTGACATGACATGAAGGGTGACACACAGACGACATGACGCTGAACACAGGAAGACAGAGGACTTAAATACACACATGAGGTGATCAGGGGATGTGGAGACACATGAGGACACAGCTGTGACACTACTGACTTTTAAACTACCATCCTAATGTTGTTTAGGCCCAACTCGTGCCACGCTCGGGACACGCTTGTGTCCCTACCTCTACCAATCAGAATATGGGCTCAAGGTCATGGACTGCCTTGCACTGGGTTTCATCACTTTGGGCCTCCATCCATGATCAATCCAGTGAATGGATTTGACTGGGATCTTAGTATTTATAATGTTAATTTAGAGCATTGCTGTGACAGAGCCCTGTGGTTATGATTTGGGAATTTTTCGAATTTAACTAAAAGTTATACACTGAGTAATTTCAGAGAAGTTTATTGAATCTATATTTTTTTCTTTGTTGGCAGGTCTTGCCGTTTATGGTCGGCTTCTTATGATGGCATCAATCCTCCACTTCAAGAGTATCGATCTGATACACCTGGTAACAACATGGAAGATGAGGAAGAGTTCATGCAGCGAGTCAAGAGCGACTCCATCTGCTCACTGGTTATCAGTCCTCTGCCCTCTGCCCTCTCCCCTACACCATCCTCTTTAGATAACAGCCAAGCGGGCAGAGCCAGCTCCGCCCTTGAACTGGAGTGGGATGACATTTTTGCAGATGACAATCCCTTGGTTTCAGCTGTGGTAAACGTGGTGCTGGCGAATGGGGATGTATCATTGGAGGCAGACACATGCACATTTCCGCCAGCACCTCCCCCACTGCCTCCTCGACACATCCAGGAAATGCGGCGCAATGCAACCAAGCTGGTGCGCGGCTCTTATGTTGAAGAATCCGAGTTTCAGGATGACGTTCTTGTCTATGATCTCATTGCTAAAAAGGATGCAAAGGCAGCCATTTTGGATCGGATCATGCTGGCAAATCGCCAATCCCGTGGAGCATCTCGAAAGGACAGCGAGTTTCAGCAACAGCGACAACATTAACAACGATGTTAACAACAACAGGAAGGACGGTTCTGGAAACTGTAAACAGCATTATGTCGGCGAGGAGGAGGAGCGAGGATGCAGGAAAAGAGGAAAGAAGAAGGAGTGAGGACTGTGAAAAGGAGATAGGGAGAACAAAGGAAGGAGAAGAAGAAGAAACCAAAAGGATATTTGGACACAGAGGGTCACTGGGAGATCAGCTCTTTACCAATGGCTTCAATGTAAACAATGACATCATCGACGAATGTGATGATGCAGATGATGATATATACATTACAGCTCGTGTCAGCCATACACCTGGAGCACATCAGCAACATGTACATGAAAGCATGCAGTCACCCTCAACATGTTTAGTAAAAAACACTTTAACCAATGGCCATCATGGATCTGAATCATTTGACCGTCCCATATCTCCAAGCCTGCCTGACGACAACACAAACAACAATGACTTCCTGTCCCAATACTGTGAGCTCATGCTGTCATTAGGGGTAGAACCAGACTATGAGGACATCACAGAGGATATTGACACATTCAGGAAGCGTGTCCAAGTGCTAAGGCAAAGACTTGAAGAGGAGGAGGAAGAGCTTTGCACTGACTTTGGTTTTCGCTCCTTTGGGGATGACGTTGGGGCAGAAGAAGAGGAAGAGGTGATGCGAGAGGAAGAAGAAGCGGAGAAGATCAGGAGCGACACAAAGAAAGGCGGCAGGAGACATCAAATTCCATTTACAGGTCTGTGCTTGTGTAACATTTAAAGCAGCTTCACTGATTTATTAACCTCAGTCACTATACACATTTTTACAAGACAGAATGAGAAAGTTTCTTTTGTGTCAAATATTCAGAATTTTTTCCAATTAACGCTTAACGTAATGTAGATTTGCAACATGGTAACGTGGTCAAAATAAATGTAGCCACTGAAAATACAAAAAAGCTGTTGGTTGGATGTCAGTTGTAAGACTAAAAGACCCCCCCCCCCCCCCCCCAATATTTTACACCTGATACAATGCATTTTCTCTTGACGTACACTAACCAGGTCCATTCATCAGTGTGCTCTTGTCTCGGCTGGAGAACCTTCTCGAAAACTCTATTGCTGTAAACCTGCTTGTGACAGGCATCCTGGCCCAGTTGGCATCGTACCCACAACCTCTCCTGAGATCCTTCCTGCTCAGCACAGACACACAAAACCAGCCTAACGTTCGCACACTTTACCAGGTAGGAGTCATACATCTGACACGACTCATGCAGGTCAGATTGGATTTTGTTAATAAAAATGTTATGTTCACTTTCATTCTGTAGGTGCTGGTGTCGCTGCATGCTCAGATAGAGCGCTATGTGATGGCCAGACCAGACTATCCTGCTCTAGTCACTCAGGCCTGGAGGTTCTTGTTGGCAAAAGACCAAGATGGCAAATTCAGAGGTTAATAAGTACACATATAAACAGGATACAAAACAACATATGTTAAAGTTAAAGAAACAAGTTAGATAGTCTGCTTTAAATGGACAGTGTGATGGACAAGAGCAGGCAAGAGTCTCTGTCAGCTATGCTGTTTGCAGATGACATAGAATTGAATTGAATTGTATGGAGGACAGTGGAATATTGTAGATGAGTTTAAATAGTTATAGTCAACCACTCCAAGCAACAGTGGTTGTGGAAAAGAGCTGAAGAAGCTCAGATTGGGCAGAATGGGGTTTTTTTTGGCAGAAAGGTAGCAGGAGGAATAGAAATGAAAGATTCAGGGCAGACAGATTCAGGAGTGAGGATATGGAGAAACAGCTCAGGTTGGACAAAGTAAGAATGACTGAATGTCTTTAAGCGGCTGAGGAGCTGTGATGGCATGACAGAGGATAAAAAAGACAAAGAGATGATCCACTGTGAAAAGTTGTGCTTAAAAAGACGTAAAAGAGTTGTTAAGTCGACAGCTCTTAATTTCACCAACTTATTCTGGCCATGCCAGCAAACATCCTAATGTTTCGGCCTTGTGGCCTTCATCAGAGAAGCTCTGGACTAGAATACATTTGTAAAACTGAGAATTGTTCATTTTCTACTGTTGGGCAGTCAACACTGGAGCCACAGATGAGTACATCTGCTTTTCTTAGCACTGATAGCGCTGGGCAAGCCTCTGACTAAGCTTGAAATACATAATTTGTAGATGTTGTCAGGCCACCTCTGAAAGTGTGAACACAGTCATTTTTGGAAAGTTACAAATAAAACGTTTTTCAGACGTCAGTTTATGATACTTGTGTGTGTCCCGCAGAGTGCCTCCAGTCTCAGGGCGGTGACATCATCCTGGATCCATCGCTTCCCAATGGCTCTGTGAAGAACGCTCTGCCTTTGCCTCCTTTCAGTGTCTTGCCCCCCTGTCCTACTATTTCCCCTCAAGCCAAGAGCCGAGTCTTCGCCATTATCCTGTACGCCGAGTTCCTGAAGGAGTTGGCTGCCTTGGCCCAGGAGCACAGCATTGCCTTGGACTGTTATTCTGAGGAGTAACGAATGCAAACCCCTAGTTCAACTGTAAAAAATCTGCCTCCCAGATTGCTGCTGATAAGATCAAGGATATGTGTTGTGACCACCAGCAAAAGACTGAGCTCAAGGAGAAAACATGTAGCATGAACTACTTTCCTCATCGAGGATTAATATAAGCGAATAATTTAAGTAGTATAAATATTCAGATGTTGTGTATGTTCCTGGCAGCACTTGAAAATGTTGATGCTTTCCCCATGTGAATATGACTGATATTTATAAAATGATTTTGAAGGAGATGATTTTGAAGAATCAGTACTGAGTTTTATATATTTGTGGGATGCGTGAAAATAGTTTTCTACCATATTTTCTTAAATCTTTGCATGGTTTTGTTGAGATGGAAAAAGTTAGACATGTGGTTCAAAATGCAGAGGACCTTTTTATTCCTCCTCCTCAGGAAGGACAAAGTGCTGCAGAAGCTGGTTGACAATAACTCTTACCTTACATGCACTGAAGTGACTTTGCATCAAATAGATCTAAACTTTCATTTATTTTATTGTGTTTTCATATCCAGTAAACAATTCACTAATATTCAAAATGATTCATTAAAACTGTTAATGCGAGACAATTCTTTCTTACTTTTAACACCAGCAATTTTTTTCTCTTATAAAAGGAGGCAGTAAAATTTAACCTTGCTTATATTCCCAACATTTTCTTCGTTTTTTTTTAACGTGTATGGTAGTTCAAAGGCATTTCTAAACCTCAAATATCCATCCAACATCTGACATAGCAGCTATGAAAAAACAGAATAAAAAATGGACAGAGCTTCAGAGTCTGAAGTTAAAGCAGACCTGTCTTAAATCAGCTCTTCACCCCTTATTTCACTAAACACTTCCTAATGAATTTATAAGCTCATTCACTAATTTGTTGTGATAACGAGTAAAGCAGTAAGTTCCTTTTGCAAATGATTATTATTATGCTCAGAAAAGATGATTATGGATGTTAGTTTGCTTATTTACTAATGACTAGTCATTATTTAAAGAGTATGTGATGTTCCTTGGTTTTATAGTCATAGTCACATCCACACCTTTGGTTCCTGTGATTAATTATAAAACCCTGAAACATTGACTTTGAGGCTTCGCAAACTGATGGGCAAAGTCACAGTGCCTACATTTATCTTTTATACCATCTGTGGTTTGTCAGGGACAAACCCTCATCTTGAATCAGAGACACAGATGTCATAAAAGACGAGTGCAGACAATGTGGTCTGTAAAGTCCCAGCCTTGACCTGACTGTATGTACTGTCATCATCTGGGTGTTTTTCAAACTGTATGTGATAAACGAGGGGTGGGTCTGACTGAGAAAGAGTCAACCTGTCAACAGGTCAATCATAAAATGCACTTCATCTTCCATTCAGTATGACCTGATGACCAGCGATTGTGACAAAGTCATCAGGGAAGTGTTCCCAAGGTTACAGAGCAAGGAAGCCTTTCCCATAGATGTATATGCAACCAGTTCCCTGAAGGAACTGCCTAGTGTGTCACCACAACAAGAAAAATGGAAGAGAAGGTTAAAGGATGGTAGAAGTTTTACTTGTTTTTTTTAGTGTGGTTTTGCTAAACCTGATCATGAGTAAAAATGAAAGTTATTTCAACTACTGTATGTCAAGATTAAAGGCCTCACACAGGATGGAAATCCCAGGCAGGAAAGTGTAGCTCGTGAGAGAGATTATATCAGATTTTTTACTTCCTGATGACACTTCTCTATAGCACGATCAGTTGCACTTCATAGCATAGCGGAAAATAAAGCTGTAGTGTTAAAATGAATAGATGTTTCATCAGTACTGTCTTTATTATTCTCATTAGGGTCCTAAATATCAGTACTAATATACAAGGCACTGAGTGTTGTGAGATTAAGCACCTTATTTGTCCTTACTGTTGTTTTATTGCTGTTTGTATTTACCAGACTGGCTCATGTGCCTGACAAAGCCATTCTAAGTGTACAGTAGTTCATTTTTTGCTTATGTGTATTTTTTGAACATTTTGAACCAGATGGAGGAAATTTTAATGCTGAAATTCAAACAAAGTGAGTGACAATCCTTGAAACAGTATCTAAAGTGTCAGGTTGCTCTGATCGGTTGTGTCTTCCTGTTTATGTGTTTTTGCTGCTGTCTTCATATGCAAACGAACACACAGGTAAAGTATCAAAAGCCTTACTTCAGCTGACTAAAATATTAGTGCAATATATAATGATGCAAAGTCAGTGGATTTTGATTTCCCATGCAGATATCAGATGTTATTTTTTTCTTTTAAACCTCTGTGAATATGATTTGTTGTTGTTAATATAACATTTTAAACTTCATGTTTGTCTTTAAGGTGAAATTTTTCCACGTTGTGATGCTCCTGTGCTTTTGTCTTTGCTGTGTTGTTTGTTGGAAGAAAAAGAGATTTGGTTTCCTGCTTACATAGTTTTCAGGTGGCAAACATAATCACCGATCTGACTTCAAACACCAAGAAACCATGTTTCTCTCTATTTCTAAGCAGTAATAGATGAGGTCTGTATGTAGAAAGCACAGTTTCACCCATGTGCACACTGCCTGTGAATGCATCTATCAGATTCTCCTCCAACTGAGAACTGTTATTCAAAACCTATACTAATAAGTATATTGACAAAAGAATTCCCTCATCCATCCAAATCATTGAATTCAGATCTTTCAGTTGCTTCATGGGCACAGTTGTATAGAATCAAACACCTAGGCATGCAGACCACCTCTACAAACACTTGAGAAAGAATGGGTTGCTCTCAGGAGCTCAGTGAACTTCAGTGTAGTAGTGTGATGGGATGCCATCTGTGCAACAAGACCAATTTCCTTGCTACTGAATATTCCACAGTCAACTGGAAGTTATTGGGAATGTCAGAAACACAGTCACAAAGTGCTAGGCCACATAAAGTCAGTGGGGTCAGGAGATGCTGAGGCACATAAAGCGAGCCCAGGTCTCCAACCTTCTGCAGAGTCAATTGCTGCAGAGTCCAAACGTCATGTGGTCTTCAGATTAGAATGGGTTTCTATGGACGAGCAGCTGCATCCAAGCCTTACACCTGACAACCTGATTGACCTGCACAGAGTCCTGACCTCAACACAAAAGAACAGCTGTGGGATGAATTGGAGTTGAGACTGTGAGCCAGGCCTTTATCAGTGTCTGACCTAACAAATGTGCTTCTGTAAGAATTGTGAAAAATTCCCATAAACAGAATCCTAAACGTGGGGGAAAACATTCCCAGAAGAGTTGAAGCTGTTTTCGTTGCAAAGGGTGGGCCAACATCATATTAAACCCTTTCGGATTAAGAATGAGATGTTAGTCATATGCCTGTGAAGGCACATAAGATAATACTTTTGGCAATATAGTGCACCTGACTGAAGTCTGACTCTGATTTGCATTACTGCTGGCACAATCTGGTGAACGTTTGCTCAGATCTTATTCTTCTTGTCACCAGTGTCCATCATCTGCTTTGAAATAAATTATTACCAAGATGATACAACTTGACACAGAAAAGATTTTTGTTTTACGTCTTGGTCATTTCTTCTTGTGGCATAGATAATGTTTGCATTTTAGCTTTTGCAATCAGTGATAAAGTCTGGTGCCTAACCCAAAGGAGAGATTTTGCACTTACATTGTGCAGCAAGTTTTTGCTGTATTATCACATTATCAGGTCCTGCACATTTATAATCTGGTAACACTTAAGTCGTGTACATATAGGCATGTATATATTTAAACTAATTACTCAACATGTAGCAGTGTTAAAAGGTGAGACCAATCAGGGAATCGGAGGAAGACAGACACAGGAAGTTAAACATTACACATGAGAAAAGCTAACCTTCAAAGTAAGATCTGTTGAAAATAAGTCATGGAAAAGTCAGAGAACCACTAGAGTAAAAAGCATCCTCTGGATAAACATTTCAAATCTGTACAAAAGACCTGTAACAAAAGCTGCAATTATCGACCTCATGGTGGCCCTGATGTCAAAGTCAAAGCTTTACGTAAGTCTGCAAGCAATAACAAGTCAGCTGATGTAGTTCACTGTGGTTTAGCTAGTTCCTGTTTTTGTATATACAAGACTTACTGAATGAAGAGTTCAAGCAGACATCAAGGTGACAGCTGTCAGTCACGAGGAGAAGATTGGTTTGAAATTTTCACATCAAATTTGTCAGAGAAGAACAACAAAGCATTAACGGATGATGCCAACGATGACACTTTGCCTGCTGTTGTGGGTTCTTGGTGAGTGAGTTAAAACTGTGCGTGTGGTTTATTGTTTTGCTTTTAAATGGCATCATGGTAGGGTGTGTCTCAGTCATGATTTGTATTGATGGGGTTTCAAAGGCAGGATCTGGGGAGATGTTGATCGTTGAAAGTACCTTTGACCGTCGGGAACATGTAGGTTATATTTAATCTTTGCGACTTCTAAAGTTCAACATTTGAGCGTGAGCAGATCTTTTTTTGTGTATTAGTGTGTAGTTTCAGATCTGCACAAGTTCTATCTCGGTTTACCTGAAAGAACCACCTTAAAATGCTTTAAAAAGTGTTCTTTTTGGCTCATTTGCCAATACTTTTCAAACAGCTCAGACAAAAGAAACACTTATAATAACTGTTGTTAATTATTGGTGAATTAACATTTATTTAACCTTTCATGTGGTTTACTAGTAAGAAAAACTACAATTCTAACTATTAATGCTTAATTAATATATGATAGGTTATATGTGCTATCAAAAATAATTATATGCAGTATTTTAGACATATTGTAGCTGTAAAGAGACCATTTCAAATAAGGTACATGTTTTATACGCATAAAAAAGAAAGTAAAGGCTCTTTCTCGAGATTTTACATATCAGGGCATAATAAAAATCACGTGGTCCTCGGCAAGTCATAACATTTTTGAGACACATCCTCAAATGAACAGTATGTGACATTACACTATGTCACTATTTATACAACAAAACCTAAACCAAAATACAGAGTGTGAGAAACAAGCTCACTGAAAGCTAGGAGCTGTATATAGGCGATAAATAAAAACTGAAAGTAATCATTTGTTATTCTCATAAACATTTTTATTCACAACAGAACATAGAAAATAGATCAAATATTTAAACTAAGAAAATGTAGCATCTTAGGAAAATATACTGGCTTATTTAGAATTTGATGGCAGCAACATGTCTCAAAAAAGTTGCAAAAACATGCAACAAACTAATAGAAAAGTAAGTGTTACTGGTCAATGAACTGGTTCTTATACAGTGCTTTCCTACTCTATCCCAATGGTAGTCATCCTAGTCATCCTAGAACACTAGCTCCGAGGCGAGACCGCGAGAGAAACATACAAGAGACATTTCTCAGACTCTATAGGCCACTGCACACTATTGGTGGAGTAATGATTTGGTCTCATTTCACAGCCAAAGATAAAGTTTAGCTGAAACTGGGTCATGCAGGAGGAATCTGGTCCCAATCAGATCAGCAAATCTGCAACATGATGGCTGAAAAAGAAAAGACTCAAGTTCATTTAACACAATTTAAATGCTCTGGAGGGATCTAAACAGAGTCGTGCAGAATTGAATACCCACAAACCTCAATGAACTAAAACAACATGAGTGTTTTAGTTCGTGAGCCAAACATCCTCAACAGCAATGTGAGAGACTAATAAAGTTACACCGAAAATAAGTACTTCAAGTTATGGCTGTTAAATGTGTCTCTACAAGCTAATGAACTGTGAATATTTGTTTTTCACTGCTTCTTCATTTCGTTTAGCGTTTGTTGCTGTAAATGATGAATTTTCTTTCAGCAAAACTAAATGAAGTTTTCATTAATGACCTGTGATCCTTTCCTTAGCGCCAGACTGTCAGACACCGGTGTTTAATGAAACACAAAGCACCCTGTACCACCAGCCCTGGGAGATGGGACGTATTTTAACCCAACCTGCAATATTTTCAAAACCTGAATCAAGTAAATGAGAAGGAAATAAATAGTAACTGGAACTTTAGAGTTCACCCCTTCATGCTACCCAGACAGGGGGAGTTTCTGCTGACTTTCATAAAAGGTTGACATGAAGATAGAAAACACTGATATGCAGCCCTGTGACCTCATACAGATGCATTACTATTATGTAGTATCATGTATATGTTATTGGGTCATTATCATTGATTCATTCATTTGTCTATCGCTTTATTGTTTCGGCTGGATGTTATTTTAAATACGTTATAATGTGTGCTAGCTTTATATCTTTAGCATACACTGTAATATATCAGCACATGCCCAGGAGACACGGTCAGTTGGCTGTACCAACTCCTGTGGCTCCTTTCAGTGTGGAGGAGTAGAAGCTTTACTCTGCACCCCTTTCAAATGACCAAGATCTTCTCTCTGTTGTTGTGCTGAGCCCAGGATTCATCAGAGGAAACTTGTATCCATGATGTCATTTCAGTCATAACCTACAGCTTTGATCATAAGTAAGGAAAGGAATGTAGAATGACCTGAAAATCATCAACCTCAGTTTTCACACATAGCTCTCTCTTCACCGCAGCAAACTGGTATAGAGTTGCACTGGTCCACCAGTCAGTTTTCTGTTCCACTCTGTGGTCATTCATGAACAAGACTCTGAAATACTTAAACTCCTCGGCTTGGGGCAGCAGCTATTTTTTTTTAAATGTTCATTCAATTGTTTAAATGCTATATATATTTGGGGCTACAACTTTACTTGATCTGCTATTTTTGTTTGTCTATCCCTGAAGGTACTGGAGTTATTTTATCAGAGGGAGATGATCCACCTTTTGATGATGAAGATTATAGTTATTTTTTTACTTCTGGCGAAATAAATTCAACCTTAATAATAAATGACACTGAACTGCTGGCCTCTCTACTGTCAGGTAATATCTGTCTCCTCTGCTCTATGTCTGTAGTTCTAATTTGTAAATATCTTTACAGGATGCTGACTCCAAACATACTGTACTTCTGACATAGTGAAATAGACTGCTTAACAAATTTATTAGACCATAAGTTTATGAACAGTATTTGTAATTACCAAAATAGTTGTATCTGTTTCTGCAGTGGTTAATCCATCACTTTGTGGATGCTCTTTAATCAAAATGATATTTTGATGGCAAAATCAAATCAGGTCCATAAATATTTGGACAGAGACAACTGTTTTTTGTAATTCTGGTTCTGTACATTACCACACTAAATTTTAATGAAACAGCTCAGCTATAAATATAAATATCCATCCATCCATGCTTATCCTTGTCATGGTCTCGGGGGGCTGGAGTCTATTATTACTATTTTTATTGAATGTTTAATGAGTAAATGTAACAGCTTAACCTTAGTTGTTATTTCATTTTCAGATTTTGGCAGTGGTGAAATTCCAGAAAAAGACACGACAGGCTCCTCAGGTAATGTTAGCCTGCTCTGGCCTGTGTTAACAATTCTTGGTTGTTTAAGTCAGAAGCGGATGTTTTGAATGGGATTGGGGTTCAGTTTGAAGGCTAACTAACCATGGTGTACTTATTAATTATAAGTAAGGGGTGGGATGTAGATTGCCCTGGAAATGATCAAGTTCACTTTCCATGCTTATTTCTCTCTTCACCATGACAAACTGGCAAAGTGTTGCACCAGTCTGTCAGTCAATCTCTGGCTCCACTTTCTGGTCATTCATGAACAAGACTCCAAAATTCTTCAACTCTCCCCCTTGGAGAACCAACTAATTTTTAACCTAGAGTGAGCACTTGACCCTTTTCTGAGAAGCATGCTCTCAGACTTGGAGACTCCTATCTGGATATTGATTTATATTTGTGTTAGACACCAAAGACCTGGTTCCCCAAGTGCATCTACTGATTTTTGAGTGTCGCAGGACACAAGGGTGAACTAAAAGAGGCAACTTTAGTGCGCTGTAGTAAAACATACTAGAAACGAAAAGTAGAAAACTAGAAACTAACAGCGAGGAACTAAGACACTGCAAAACGAAACCGGGAAGCTAGAAAACATAACTGTGAACAGAGGACTATAACGTTACCAGAAACATAGAAGAAAAACACATCACAGTGAGGACACACCACAACACAGAGCACGGCAAACACAGGCCTTAAATACTCACTGGAGTAATCAGGGAATGGGAGACAGGAGAAAAACACAGCTGGGAGAAATTATGCCTAACGAGACAAGGGAAGCAAAAATAGAAACACTGACATGAGAAACGGACTTTCAAAGTAAAACAGGAAACACGACAAGCACAGAGTGAAACTGAACAAAGGAAACACGGAGCACAGAGACAGGAGTGACAACAGACATGACCGGGGAACGAGATAAATTATAATAATACATAATCAGGGAATATAACTTAAACAGATACAAAACACTGGGTCACTGACGTCCATCTTCAAGGAAACGAAGTCCAGACACTTTTCTTTCCAAGCTCCTTAGACTACGATGACCTGAATGATTGAGAACATTCACAGACAATAGGCACTAAACTACTCTTCTACCAGCCTGCATGGTTTTAACCTGGAATTGTCCATAGACATTCTTGTCATGGATCATGCCAAATTTGTGCTTTTCACCTCAGTTTTAAAAATTTGGGGGAAATCAGGAGTTGTGAGATAACTAGGAAGGACTCACCTTGTAACCTTCCTAGAAAGGTGATGATATCTGATGCACTTAAAAGCAAATTTCTATCACAGGCACATAAGGTTCTCACGTACCTACGTACCTAAGGTAGATTTGCACTTCCAATTTTCCTTCATTTCCAGTGTCAACGAAAGCTGCTTCACAAATTTTGGCTTACTGTCAGCTATTAGGTGATTCTCTGGTCTTTTGCATAACCTCTGAGTTTCTTCCCCCTTCTGAAAGCTTCGAGCTAGCTCAGAATTAGGCTGTTTTTTCTGCTAATGAGGAAATGTTGTTTTGCATGATTGCTTTCTATCTCTCTTCGCAGCTCCCAGAAACCATGGACTGAAAACAACTGGTGCTGAAAATGCTGACCTCTGTTCCCTTGGCCTGAGCTATGTTCTTTTAGCTTTGTGTATGCTAGTATAAAAAAAGTTTGTTTGTTTTTTCTTTTGAAAAGTGTGAGCTGCTTGTAAATACACAGGAAACCTGTTCACCCCCCACCCGCAAGTTTTATCATCCTGCTCTTACTGAGTAGATTAGTGGTTTGATTGTTAAAGTGATTACTTCTGTGTTTCTCGGCAATGAGCTTCTGGTATTCAACATCTGCAACCACAAATCCACTAAGAGCGAGGTGTTCTATTTTTTTTTTTCAGATGAATAAGCCATTAGAAATAAAACAATCTTTATTTTTCACCAATTCTAACCAAGAAAACTTCAAATTAGCACATAAGCTGCAAACACCTGACATATAAACCATGAAAACTGTGCTTTCTTTATTGGTGCAGTCACCTTTTCCAGGTATGCAAATTTCAGGGTTGAATCCCCCAGTTGCCATGATTGTAATTACTCATGCATGCATGTGGTATATTTTAAATAACTCACTGACATTTGCGTGTGTGCAATCATCTTGTACTGGCAAGGGTTTGAAACTCAAGTTAGTTTCAAAGTGCAGGTGAGCTGCTGTAGAAGCAACAACATTTACCCATTGTTAGGTGTACATGAAAACAAATGAGAGAAGAAGATGTGTGACTTGTAAAGCCCGTTTAAACTTGTAGTAAGTAGTAAGTCTAGATTTAAATACATACAGGGTTTAAAATGACTTTAAAGTTCAAATGTCCTCAAGACTGCCCTGCACAGAGTCCTGACCTCAACCCAACACTTCTGGGATGAACTGAAGCGGAGACTGTGAGCCAAGTCTTCATGTCCAACATCAGTGTCTGACCTCACAGACGCACTTCTGGAAGAATGGTGAAAAATTCTCATAAACTAAGTTGAAAATGTTTGGGCCAACATCATATGAAACCCTGTCACTCCAGTTCACATGCATGTGATGGCAGAGAAGTAAATACTTTTGGTTATATAGTGTATGTAGATCTGACCACTGTGCTGTTAATACTCATGGGAAATAAAGGAACAGCTCAAAGAACAAACAGTATAAATTCACTTTGTTCACTTTGTGTCAGGGCTGGCTCTGTGACCCAGCGCTTTCAGTTTTGATCATTTGTTATATTTTGAAGATAATGTGGAGTTTGTGATTATTAATTGGCCGTGAATTTTAGTTTAGTCTGTTTCACCCAGGCCTTCTGTGCTATTTGTTATGTATTTCTTGTTTGCGTGTTTCATGTTGTCAAGCCTGTGTCGTCATATCTACATCTCTCCATGTTTCCTGTTTTATTTTGAAAGTCTTGTGTTTCTTTCTTTAATGTGTTTAGTTTTACTCTTCTCCTGTGATGCTGTTATGTTCATTTGAGTCAGCTGTTTCCCCGTGTGTTTCCACTTCCCCTGTGTGTATTTAAGTCCTCCTTCTTCCTTTGTTCTGTGTCAGGTTGTCTGCCCTCCGTGTCACTTCAGGTTTCCAAGATTTTCATGATTTTGTTCAGGGCATGTTCATGTGTCTAGTTCATGTTTGTATTTCACAGTTTCTTTCATGCCTACACAAAATCATGTTCATAGTCGTCATAGTCATTTCTAGTGTTTCCAGTTTAGGTTTTAGTTTAGCCTTGCCACTGTTCATGTTGTTTTGTTTTGCACTCTTGTCATCAGCCCTATTAAAGTCTCGCTTTTTGTTTAAAGTTCTGTACCGTCTCCTCCCGTCTTCTGCGTTTGGGTCCACTATTCTGCTCACAACACACAGTCAGCTCCCGCTGGCCGTGACACTTTGTCCTACTTCACTTATTCAACAGAAGAAAAATTCAACATAGTAAATGTTTTATACACAATTTTTCATCACAAAACAGTTGTATGTCTCATACTGTATTTTATTTATAAAGAAGGAAAGCTTCATATGTATTGCTGTTGTTATTTACGATGTCACTGCTTTCCATCATCCTCACTGCTGATTTTTCTGAATAAATATACATGAAAACTGGAATTATGCACAGTGTTGGGAAGGTTACTTTTAAAATGTATTCCACTACAGATTACAGAATACATGCCCCAAAATGTATTCTGTAACGTATTCCGTTACGTTACTCAATGAGAGTAACGTATTCGGAATACTTCGGATTACTTAATATATTATCACGCTGTTTACAACTACATGAATGTACTATTGCTGTGTGATTTATTACTGTTACTGAAGGTCCGCGACTCCGAACCGTAGTAAAGGGACCTCTGACTAATACGGCGGGGTCCCTGTCGGCTCGTAGCCGAAAAATAGCTTTACTTTGTTGTCTGGGTCAAGTTTGCTAGCGAGAGACAGAGAGAGGCGTTGAAAGGCTGCTCCAACGGAACTTATTGTTTCGGAGGAAAACACGAACACAGTGTACAGTCGAGTCTTAGCTTACTTACAACTGGGCTCGTCAGGCACTCTTCTTGGCTGCAGTGGTTATTATTATATTTACATGCTTCCAGCTCCCGTTTTCGCTCGATGACAACTCGTACCTTTCCACTCGCCTTTTTCTCCCTCCTCGCGCTCACAGACACATAACAGGTATGGCAGTCCATTCTCCCTGCAGCACTGAAATGTGACTACACTGCCCATGATGCTACATTCTTTAGGGCTATGTCTGTAACACTCTACCTTTTAGCTTAGCACAACAACAACAACAACAAAAGGCGCTCTCTCACCCAGGAAACACACAGTCGCAAAGAGAGCGCGCGTCACCATGTAACCATGGCAACCGTAACGCTGCCGCCTGGAACAACAACAATATGAAACAGGAAAGTACCGTCATGTAATCCATTTATTTCAACAAAGTAACTGTATTCTGAATACCACCTTTTTAAACGGTAACTGTAACGGAATACAGTTACTCATATTTTGTATTTTAAATACGTAACGGCGGTACATGTATTCCGTTACTCCCCAACACTGATTATGTACTGAAAACACAAAGCTGCTGTGTGTCAGCAACATGACTCCAAGCTTCTAACTCTAAGCACAATTCCACTGATCCAAACACCGCTTTAGCAGCAAATCAGCATATAGGTCATCATATAGCACTCGTCTTTAAAGTACAACACAGTGGTTTCATTAGGTCTCAGTCATATTGCACTTGTTCAAACTTGGAAGAACAACTCAGTCACGTGTCAAAATATTAAAGAGACCTCAAGTGACTTTTGCAGGTGTTAGATAAAAAATAACAGAGCAGGAAGAGGAAGAGTAGGGTAGAAGTAGGGTAAGGGTAAGAGCAGACCTACAATATTTCCCTGTTCAGCTGAACACTTTGAATTGCCCCAACAAATGTTTTTTTAGTACCTTTTTACAAATCTGGCTTTCTTAGTGTTTCTAATTGCGCTTAATTCAATTCAATTCAATTCAGTTTTATTTATATAGCGCCAAATCACAACAACAGTTGCCTCAAGGCGCTTTATATTGCACAGTAGATTATATGACCCCCTAAGCACTTAAATTAAATTGGTGGGTTTTGCCACATACTGTATAAAAGAGGTAACATCTACACATTGAGTTGGGAGTTCCCAGCAGTCCTGCTTAAGTATTAGTTCAGTTCATTAATTTTAGTTTTTGTCATGAACCGAAGTTCCGAGCGCAGGCAGGACCCAGTAGCAGAACACACACACTAGGGTAGGAGCGAATAAAGAAAGTAATTTTTATTGCAACTAAAGGTGTCCCGTGAGGGTAGCCTGAAAAACAACGTATGGAACCAGAAGAAACCGAGGGACCGCGCAGGGAACGCCGAGAGCGGGGCTGTGAGAGGCTGTAAAACAAAAAGAGAGACAGATTACTGGGGTGCGGAAAAAAGGCAGCATACGAGGGAAGGTGGAGTGTGCGTCTCACGGTGATAGCCGGGCCGAGTGAACCAGAGGGGGGTGGAGCTCCAAAAGGGGTCGAGACGGCGAAGCTGATGGTGAACCAAATTTCAGGCGGACAGGTGGATAGGCAGGTGGCTCGTAAACAAAAACACGCCGAGTTGTGATCTGGGTACACAGGGAAAAAACAGTGTTAGGTCCGATGGAGAGTTTGTCATAAGAGTTCTTTTCCCGCAGGCGTACGTTACCGCTGAGAGGCGACTACGGACTGGCGTGGAGCAGCAGGTAGGGCAGCATTAAATAGTCCACCTGATGATCGCCTGGGATGGGATGCAGGTGTGGGGTTAGCAGCCACGCTCGTGGGCGTGGACATCCCAGCAGCACCCCGGACGCCGGACCATGACAGTTTTGGGGAGAATCCTGAGTCAGATGGTGGCTGTCACATGATGTTCTTCCCCTTTTTTTTTCAACTGTGGGTCCTCTCTCTTATTTTGTCAAGTACATTAAGTTTCTTGAACTATAGTTGTGTTCCCTTAACGCATGGTGTTTAGAGATTTGGAGACTCAGCTAACAGAACTATGAGAACTGTGCATGCTGGATGTTGTATGTTTGGTGCTTGCAAATAAGCCAAACACATGGCAGCAGCTCAGTGTAGACATGGTCAAAGAAACCTGCTGAAGTTCAAACTGAGCATCACAATGGACAAGAGGGCTGATTTAAGATGGACTGTCTGAGTATTGCTAATCTGCTGGGATTTTTTCACACATCCTTTTCTAGGGTTACAGAGAATGATCTAAAAAAGAGAAAATATCCAGTGAGCAGTGATTCCTTTCAGAGGAGAATGTCCAGAATGTTTCATGCTGATTAGAAGGCAGCAGTAACTCAAATAACCACTCATTACAACCAAGATATGCAGGAGAGCATCTCTGAATGCACAACACGTTGAACCTTGAACTAGGTGGGTTTTGGCTGGGGCTTGTGACCAAACCGGATGCCACTCCTACCAGCTAATAACAGGAAATTAAAGCAAGCGTTTCTACAAGATAGAAAAATGTTGCCTGGTCTGATGAGACTCAATTTATACTGCAACATTTAGATGACAGGGTCAGAATTTGGCCTAAAATGAATGAAAGCTATGCATGTCACACAGTGTCACAGGGATCTCAATCCAATAGAGGACCTTTGGGATGTGGTGGACCATGAGATTTTCATCATGGATATGTGTAACTGTGTGATGCCATCAAGTCAATATGAACCAACATCTCTCAGCACGGATTCCAGGACGCTATTAGTGCCATGAAAAATTAAAGGGGGTTAAAGCAGTTACAGTATAGCAAGGTGTGCTTAATAAATTGGAATGTGAGTGTAGGTGGTTCAGGTTTAGTATAATAATTCCATATTTCTACATAGTTTCAATTTTCATAGTATTTGGTACGATTACATTTGATTCAGTTTTATGTATACATCTCCAGTTCACTACAACAGTTGACTAAAGTGAGTTTATACTGGAGGATAAAGACA